CCGTCAAAAAAAGAAATAAAGAATTAAAGATATACCACAACTTCTGGACTTCATTATAGGGGTTTGAGAAACTTTTTTTTTCACACAAAGAGAAACTAATTAAATTAAAAAACATTAGAAAAATCGCAAAAGAAAAATAAAAATTGTGTACAAAGGGTAAAAAATAAAAGAAAACATATTGACTACTCAAATTTCTATCAAACCTGCCATCTTGAAATGGATACAAAACCTTCCATAACTTCGATAGATAACTAAATTTGTTGAAAGCTTTAAACAACAAAGCGGTAAGGAAAACCAACCTTAGAAAGCCCTTCATGGTAATGTTAAAGAGCATTCAATCCACCAAAAAAATACACCAATAGATAATTTTATTCACTTAAAAATCCCAACTGGCAAGAAAATTGAACTAACTACAGTAGCAATGCATCATCCTTAGTCCTCATTGGACTATAGGTTGTATCTACCAATAACAGAGCAGACAATGGTTGTAAACAACTCATTCCATCGGCCCTAAAAACACATCATTAGAAACACATTCATCTAAACGAATAGGAACTATCATATCAACAACCTCAAGTCTTATAGAAAAAAACACCCCAAAACAAACTGAAAATCCAACATTTAGAAGCAAATGCATATATAAAAAGGAATATAAAGGCATCGTAAATGGAAGAATTAATCCACTGATTAACTAAATGAGATGCAGTATGTGTATTATACATAAATTAGAGAGCGATGGGTAGCCTAAGATGTAGCAGGGCAACCTTCAGTAAACGTCATTGATCAATTCTTCAATCACCTACATAGATTAACATTCTCATTTATTATCAAAGTCATGAAACCGAAAGGAAACACTTATTCAACACAAAAACCTCAACGACTTTAAAACTAAAAAAAAAACTCAACTTTTGAAGCTTACAATAAATTGGAATTGCTATCATTGGTCACATGTGGCGTCATTGGTGGTGTGGGGGCGTGGTCGTTCATTTTGGTGTGAGTCGCTGGTTGAGGGAGGGGGTTTTAGGGTGAGAGAGAGAGAGGTCGATGGCGGCGTCATGTGGATGCAAGAAGAGAATGGGGTGCAATGGAGAGAGAATAAGGGAATGGTGTGGGTATGCTGTGTTGTGTGCTTTATGTGAGTCGGGTGGTGTGTTGTGTGTGTGCGCGTACTATCTGTGTGATGGTGGAGGAAGAGGTATGTTGTGTTGTAGAGAAAAGAAATAACAAAGAAAAAAAGATAATCATGGAGATGAGAGAGAAAAGGGTGATGAGATCAGAGAGATGAGTACGAATGTTGGATAATGAACTCACCACCCTTTACCAGGAAAAAAAATTGCTTAGGTTAAAAATATACAATCCTAATGTCTCCATTCTTGCGAGTCTGAAAGTGATTCCCTCGTTGAAATGTCCCAAGGCTTCAGTTCCGGCACAATAACAACCAACACCAACTTCAACATGTACATATAAGAAGACATTATACAATTAAACAAAGCAAGCATTATCTACCATTAAAGTTGCATCAAATTCACACAGCAGAAAAAAAACAAAAACAAAAAAAGGATAACTTGAAGAATAACGATGGAGAACTTTTTATAAAGCCATAATGTCTACATTTTGGTCAATGTTAGTTGATTTGATCCAATAAACTCCACTACAATATGCGATAAGAGTAATGAGAACAAACAGACAGTTATAGAAATTAAGTTTTTAAACATCCAATAAAAATTGAATGATCTATTGCAATGAAATTTGAAAATTCATGGAACACAACAAAGCACAATTGGAGCAAAAAACATAGAGAGAGCAAACACCATGTTATATTAATCAAATAAAGAAGACAAATCACCGTACCGGATTCACAGTTAAAGTATCAAACACCCAAATTTCCAAATCAACCTTTTTTGCTCAAATTATCGTACTTGGGCAGGCGTCTTCCATGGTCAAGAAGCAAGCGAGAGAGAGAGAGAGGCGTACCTGGGTAGGCGTCTTCCATGGTAGAGAAGCGAGCGAGCGAGTGAGAGAGAAAGAGAGAGGCTTTGAATTGGGTAGCGTGTGTGTGTAGGTATAATGGGCGGGATGGATTGTTAGCCATTAGATTTAATTAGATGAATTTATATGAGATCTGAACCGTATATTTGAACTTCAATCAAATCCTAACCGTTCTTCTGCTTTTCTAAATTGGGGGAGATGATTTCAATTTGAAAAGTTTAAAATTGTCTTTATCTTATTAGTATAGATAATCGAGTTACTTGGACTCGGTTAAGATTCTAAACAAACCAAACTTGAACAAATTTTTAGACTCGTTTAAAACAACGAGTTTGATAAACTCCGACTCAAACTCATAAAATTTGACTCGATTAACACCCCTATTTGGCACATACACCATAAATAGCTGATAGATTTCCTTGTTGTATACCAAATTAGTAATATTATTGAAACCTAATTGTTCTGAGTTAATTATGTGTCTGCTGATAATGTCCTAGACAAAAAAAAAATCCGATAGCTATAATTACAATAACTTCATTAGTTCATCATACCAAATAGTTCTAGAGAGCTGAATTAATAACTAAATCAATTGTGACTATCTTTTCAATAATGATTTGTTCGGTGTTTCAACTAACTTATTTGTTTGTTGAGATATTTAAGCTTGTTATGGTACTCGTCTAATTCTTTTGGACACATAATTAATAATTTTTCTCCAAAATAAATCTCAAAAGGATAACCCAAGAGATTAACAAGATTTGCTGATGTGACCAGTCCCCTTGTAATTAAGGTGGACCACATGCTGTTGAGCCAAACCCCTTGGGTCGTAAGAGTTATTAGGTTGTCATAGCATTCCCTTATCTGAACAAAAGACAATCTTTTCCTTTGATGAAATTCGGCTAATATAGAAAGCCATTTAGGTACTTTACCTAGCCTTTTTGTTAATGAAGAACATAGAGAAGTAACTGGTTACATAATGTCATCAAGTGATTTAGTTATTTTAGATGGCCAGGCATAAATATTAGGAATACTAGTGAACTTGTCTATAACCCAAGAAAATTATTTTGAATAGGTATGTCAATTTCTCTTGGTGACGCAAACTGGAGACGAATATAACAATAACACATTTTGTATATAACATAATCCAAGTATTACACAACACAACTTGTTTGATAGTCCTAGTTATAAGGGCATAATTTACATAGGCAGTAAATATAAATGCATATCTTGGAAAGCACCCTTTAGAGGCAACTTAGAAAGAATAAGCTATAAGAGCCCCCACATAGAGGAATAGAGTCTCTCATGTGATTTGTATTCTCATACTGATCAAAGCTGTACACCCTATGTACTGATAAAGATATGATCTACTTAGACCAAGAATCTAACCCATGGGCTACTAAGATTTGCATAAACAATCAAGTAAACATATATACCTCATACTTAATTCCATTTTTACCCATCCTCCCTTATTGTTGTTTTGACATATTAACCAGGTGCAAAATTGAAATAACTTTAAATCCAGTCCGTTGGATAAGACAATGCGTCATTGCACAAAAACAAATAAAGCTCATGCAAGCTATTCTTCTCAAACCTTGCAATCACGAGAGTCGGATATACTTGGCAACCTTTTTTATGCAGACCACTCTTAATCATATTGGAAAATTCCTATTATCCTGTTTTGCTTCAAATCAAAATTTTGACTCATGAAAACAAAATAATGGAAATTTTGTAAGTAACATGTTTACTATGAAGCTATCCCTAGAGGTTAAATCCCTGAGAAAGCTTTCATAAAGGTCTTCATGTAGCTTTCTTTTTGCTGAATCAATTCTCCATGAAGTGGGAATAAGTTGGCTAGGCTTTTAAACACACACTCACCCCTGTTTTCTTCATGTTATTTATTTGTCAGAAAAAAAAAAATATAGCAATTTGAGCAGATTTGTTTCAACTGTGTGTGTGTGTGTTGATTAGATTCTTTATATAGCTTTGTACTAAAACATTAGTAGACACAGCCTACCCTTCCTCGACTCACTGCATATATTCAACGAAACAATAATACCGTGACCTGATGATGTGTCTACAAACATGACCCCAATAAAAAAGTTGCAACGCTTACAAAAGTAGATACTATTGGACCATATCAATTAACAAAGTTAACATTACTCTCAGTAAGATTAATAGTTCAGTACAACTCCTTTTAATTGTAGTTCTGGTACATCATTTGTTATACATCAGCTATTCTTTTTGGGAAGCTTATGATGGATTGTGTTCTAAAGAAACACATAAATTTGAATACTTGCTTTTGAATTCGTACTGGAATCTGGTTCAGGAGGAATCTTGTAGAACGGACCAACTTTCTTCTCTATGTTACTTGCTATACAATTGCAAACAATTAGATATAGTATTCCTCTGACTCAAGGTCTATCTTTTCCTGGCTGTTTGACACAAAAAGCATGCAAATGACAGATAAATCAGTCAAGATCTCTCTCTCTCTCCATCATTACTTAGCCACCCCCTGTGTTCTGAATGGTCTATATTCAAAATCATTATCAATTATGCTGACATAGAATCACAATAATGGTCTTAAATCACAAATTCAGAAAGTAAAAGAGAAATGCTGCAACTTTACATCAGAGTTGGCAATTGATTGGGTCATAAGGGGGCAGAATTATAAAACAAAATCATGCAGTGCTTGGTGTGTAAAAAGACCAATTACCAGACAATTTGGACCCCAAGCTCATTTGCATCCATCTAAATTAAAAGCTTCCCAAATACGGTTAGAAGTACCTAATTTCCCGTAGTTTGAAGTTTCAAGGAATCAAATAAAGCTCAACATATTTGAGATAACTATCGCACATCACCTGACACTGTTTCTTCTTTATTATCTTTTTATCTCCTCTTGCAAGTGGTTTCATGAGCAAACAAACTTTGTTGGTGCATGTTACCTGGAAATGAATCTAGGTTGATTGGTATTTGAGCATAAGATCACTACAGATTTTTCCCACTTTCACTGTTCTCCTCTACAAGTAGTCTTGTTCAACATAGTACACATTCTTTGCTTCTCTGAGCATGCTGAGATTCTTGGTCATAGATTTGTCAAACTTTTCATCTGCATGATCAATTTGCTTGCACGCTCGCAGGTTGGCATGCCTATCCTTTTGGTCAAAATAAGATCAGACTGCATTCTCTCCTTTAACATTATTACTACGACTCAAAAAAAGAAGTATGTATTTATACTCTTGGATGATAACAAAAATGTGCAATTATTACAAAAATACAAATGTCCTATCTAAAAACTTAAGCTTTTAGATGAGTTGATGATTTATACTTATCTAGTGGTTGAAATAGTATCAAAACCTAAAAGTCTTGAGTTCAAACCAAACCAACCAATCCTGCCTTAGATAAGGTTTCTAGAGTTCAACCTTGAAGCTTATGCAATAGAATGTTTCAGCTCAGATTACAGGGTATTACAGCTAGGATCACTGAGCTTTTGCTATTCAATTTTTCTTAAATCTTTGTTGGTTTGGAAACTATTTTCACTCGATCTAATCAAGAACCCTGAACTTGATTGATGCCATGTGCTCAAAACAAATAAAGTGCCACACATAATCTTAATGGTGCCCAAGTTGTTTGAACTGTAACAGTATACTATCAGACTGATTCCTTATCCAAGAGATTTGATTATGCTGTCTGATTCCAGTAATTAATCAGCGTTTGAAAAATTAGATGCAAATATTTTTAGCATATCAAATTGAAGTTTATTGTAGCATCTAAATTGATATTTGAATCACTCAAGGTCCCCTGCTTTTGGTGTTCAAGGTTATATGCCACCCATCCCTCTGTACATTTTGCTAAACTTCTGCTACATTCAAATCCATGTTGAACATGTAGAACCTTTTTCTAATCTGTAACCCATAATCCAACAATGCACAAGTACACAGCACAAAAATCCTACTGGACATTATTTGATCAGCAACATCAAGGGCAAAATGTGGTACACCACAAGTGCTGGCAGAGACACTTGAGGTTAACTGATAAGGATCAAGGAGAGAGAGAGAGAGATTTGTCAGACGCATTCAAGAAAATTCACTTTTACGTTAAATTCAGTACCTCACTAATGCTAATCAACACTTCCAAAGAAGCACATCAGATGATCTAGAAAACAATTGCAACTATTTACAAAGCATACCTGCATTGAAATATGGCACAACTAAGCCTAGAAACACTATGTTCCAGTCTGCTTTGGCTCGATCTCTTCAAATCCACATACATTGATGATTTCGACAAATGTTCCAGCGTCAGAAAACCAGAGGGGTAATATATGAGACTTCATAAATTAATATATGAGGTGAGAACCCAAAAATATACCAATTTTCACCCACATGTTCAAGAGGGGGTGAGTTTTGAACTTCAAATGGCTACATTTTCTCTACTTTGAGTTCAAAGTTAAATATGCATTCTCCAGAATTATTAAAGGGAAAAAAATTCAAAAACAAGTTGATATGTAGCCAGCAAGACATTATGGCATCAACTTACAATACTAATTTTTGTTTATTTTGAGGGATAAGCATGTTCTATCCCATTGCATTGATTCCTTATCCTTAACATTAGTGTTTGAACCAAAATGGACAAATTCCATGTCCATGGGATGACCAAACACAGCTCAAGATACTAATAAACTGTTAAACAAAATAAATATATTATGTGGTAACTTTTAAAATATACTGGTATGACCATTGTTAACAGCTTACCGGTATCTCATTCATCCCTTTTTTGCCGTATCCTGCCTCTGGAGGAACAAGCACAGTTCTCTGTACAACAAGAAGAAAGATTAAAGGTGAGCTGATAAACAGGGAGTTGACATAAAAATGTATTAAAAAATACATAATGCACAGAAAAAAAAATAAATGAAGTCATGCAGTATGAGCATGCAGAGACAATAAAGGAGGATATTCTACCTTCCCCCCTACTTTCATCCCTTCGGTCATTATGTACATGGCCGTTGGGGCTTTGGTGCAGCTTGTGCAGAGAACAGACCATTTGGATTGTCCACAAATTCACGCTTTCGTTCTTTTCCAGGGGGAGCTCCAACCTGGAACTCATAAGGCTACTTGGAACACAATGAATCATGTACCATTTAATTATACATATATCCAGAATTCAACACATTGATCCAGTGTTTATAGTTATGCTAAGAGATCAATAGAGAGTAAACACCTGTGCAATGATGCAATTTCCAGCCAAGAGTTTAGATTCTCGACTTGACACCGCTGTAATACCACGATATAAGCAGTCGAAATGCACCTATAATGATAGACGCCATAGAAAGCTGTAAGTAGCAAAATCAATGCATGAAAACACACAATCACTAGATTACATGGCACCATCAAACCCGCACTGTTGATCCTTTTTCAGCTACAGGGCCATTTCCCTCAACAACATCATAGTATTTCAGTCCATCAGCTACTAGGAAAACAAGACCAATTCGTAAAGGATAATGAGCAAAGAAGAGTGGAGACGTCTCTTAACACTGTTTGACAATGTTCATAACTTTGGCTTGGGAATCAAGTAGTTAGAATTAATTGCAAATGGAATAATGCACAGTACTCTTCTATCTAGTCAATTTCACCTGATAAAAACTCTGCATGTGTATCAACCATATGCAATTTTTGCAAAATCACTGTAGAAGTGACTCCCCAAGGACAAAGTGGGCACCAGCATTTTGTAAAATGCTAGGAAAAAACTTTCCAAATATTGATGGAGCTATACGCTCAATCGAGATGCTGAAGCACAATATTTTCACTTAATTACAGGTCATATGCAACAAAATCTTTACTTAGCAAGCTCATTAATAGACAATTCAAGTTGTTTTTGTAAAGATTTCTTCGGTGAAGATGCTTCTAAGTTCTTTTTTTTCTAACAATTGTTGATGAAGTAAATAGATTGAATAGATAATCATAGTTGTAAGCGATAGCACATTCAAAAAATCTCTGTCAAATTGCACATCTATTCACTTAGAATCAGGTTAAGCATGTCAGCTCAGAGCATACGTAGTCAAACTACTAAGAGTCTGCATGCATCATAAAGAGGGCATCAATCACATGAGAGGGAGTTGGTTTAGTAAAATGCATCTCTTTTGAAGCACTTGGCATCATGCACTCCTCCTTACCCACCTATCAACGTATTTCCAACAGCCAAGGTAGCTGTTATTATGATAATTTCCCCTTTTTTGGCTGGCGAGCGTGTCTAGATACCTTAAGAATATTCAAATAGTCTATCGGGTATAGCACAACTGGTTTTATTAAAACCCCAAAAGCAATTGATTTCATGACTTACCAACCCTATAACTTCTAGAATTGAACAACTAGAGATATTTGCAATAAACATATTGGAGGTTTAACTGCAGTTCCTAGGTTCCATGACAGTTTCATCCTCAGGGAAGGAAAATTTGATACTCCACCAGGATTTGGCACCCGAGGATGCTTACAGTGCTTAGCTCTGTCATGCATCCCAGCATGGGTGTTCGAGTGTCTGAATTCACCCTGTTCAAAAGAGACCAACATATGTTGTCCATCATTCTCCCAATAAGGCAGGTTCTTTTGGTGTGCGGGTTTGGACTACTACACCTATCGTGGGTGTTACATGCGTTTACTCACTCAAAGTAAGCTCTCTCTCTCTTCAGCAAAATAGTTCCAAGGAAACGAATTAGGGTTTCAATCTAGACATAATAGTTCTCGTGAGCAAGAAATTTCAAAGCAGGATCACTCCTATGCGATTGTAATTGTTTGAAAGTGATAGCAAGCAATTGCGTAAAATTCTTGAATTCATTGCACATTGCTTGTAAATTCCTAACATATGAACATATGAGAAATCCAATGGTAGATGTAAGGTGGGTTCCCTTTGCATTAACAAACGTTTATCAGAAAAAAACAAGAAATTGAAGAAATCCAAGAGACATCACCCCAAGAACATGAACAGATAATGACAATGATGAAAAAAATAAAGCCCAACAAAGCACAGTTAAACAAGAGCAAGTATAAAGTAAAGAGTGATTAACAGCTGGTGAGGTAGTCGTCAAGAGGGATGGCCATTTTGTTGCGCCTCTCTCTGGCCAATGATGGCAGGGGTAGTCAAACGAAGCCCAAAGGAAGCACAAAGATGAGAATTGCACACCTTCTCGATATGGGTGGTCTTGGTAAAATGACTTGCTGCTTTATATGCTGCTGTGTTTGATTTTTGAAGGTGGGTTTTGAACAACAATGTAGAATATTATCAACGCTGAATCTCGCAAAGCTCTGTAGTGAAGCCATGGCCATTGGAGCCCAAAAAACCAAAAGATTATGATAAAGCCGCCATCTTTATGAGAAGTCTCTATCCACTGCCGTTGGTGCTGCTGTGCTGATTGCCATGTGCACCCTCCAAATGGAACCGATAAATAAGAGTCGAAATGCGCCTAAAAATAAAATCATAGAAATACCTAAAAATAATAATCGCCGTTGCCGGGGACCGAACCCGGGAGGACCAGGTGACACGCGGAAACTTACCACTAAACTAAAACGACATCGTTTTTATAATACCTGTTGAATTCTTTATTAAACTTTTTCAATAAACCACCCAACTTAAGGAACACTAAACTCACAAAATCCTAATAGGGTAGGGTTTCTGCAATTGCTCTGCATCTTATTAAAAAAAAATCCTTGCAGGAGGATAGATTTCAATGTGATAGGTAACAGTGGTGTTGAAAAATTAGTGGCCCAGCTATCATTAATAGAAGTGGATGATGCGCCAGTGCATTGCTTGGTTAGATGCAGTAGAAAAGTAAGAGCTGCGCAAGATGAGCAAATAAAACAAAATTTGAGAAAGTGAAAATCTCAAATCCAACATTATATATCTGGAGAGACAAATTGGCATGATAATGTCATTTCAGTTTCATCGCAGTGTAGAAGAAAATTGGTGGTGCTGGGAATCACTTGGAACAAACACTGGAAGCTGGCCACCTCGTTGTGATCTACCCTGCCGATAGTAACTTGACGTGGAACCTCTCTCAGGATCGGAAGGCAGTGAGTTGCCAGTTCTTGTCCCTCTGCTCAACTGTTCATCCACAGGGGAACCACCATAGAAAATAGATTGACCTGCATATGTAAGCGGCTCTCTTCCGGATACCTGAGAGGAAGAACTAACACTTCTGGTGGCTGCAGAGACAAAGCGCCCAGCTTCTTGATCCCAAAATACTGACGACGACCTTGAATTTTCTGCAGCACCCAAGTTTCTACTCATTGGTACCCTTTCTACATCACTAACTGCAGTTTCATTTGCGTCCTTTGCTGACAAAGGAGATCGATCTACTGATGACATGTACATCGGATTGAAATGATCTCTGTTTGAAGCCAGCTGCTCTAATGGAGAAGGTGTGAGGTTAGGGGGATGAGGGCTGTTTAGGTTACTAATGTTGTGGCCACACATTTCATTATCTTCCCTGCTAGCACGACTGGGAGGATATGAACTCTTCGAAGAAGATAACCTTGATGTTCCTGCTCTAGTATTTCTTTCATGAAATCCATGATTGGTACTGGTTGGACTGCTTCTGCCACTCACATTGCTATTGGATAAATGATCGGAGTCATACGGATGATGTCTGGAACTTACTGGACGTAAAACAGATGATGAAGCTCTAGCCTTGGCCCCTGCCTTGATTGACTCATTAGAGTCCAATTTGGCAAGCTTCCATGCACTTATCCGGACTGGACGCTGGGCTAACCTTTTCCCCTTATCAGGAGGAGGCAATGAATCTGGATCAACAGTGGATGGTAAGCGATCTCGCTCTAGATGAGGGATAATTTCATCCTGGTTATGTACTAACAAGAACGAGTCAGTATGGAGCCTTTATCCTTGGACGTTCAACACAAATATTAAAGTTACTGAAACATGGAGCATGAAATGCATGTGACAGATATCATGGTGCTTCCAATGTTAATAAAGAGAATTCTTTCCATCATGAAGTAGCACTTGCCCTAGAATAGATATATCTAATCACCGACAAAAGCAGGAAATATTTCCAGAAAAAAATAACATGAACCAGAGTTTGGACCAAGAGATAATCCAACCCAAAACCAAGTATACTAGAGCTAGAAACAAATTTCCAAAAAACTAGCAATATTTTGTAAAATAAAAATGTTGTATACAAGTTTGTTCCCATTATGTTGATTACACACTAGTTTTCTCCAGTCTTTTTTGACACTTTTCCCACAATACCACAAGTAACTTTAGAACTACTTCACCGTCTAAGTTGTTCTAGCTTCCTTTGTTTCTGGGTTTATGCAATGTATTTTCATTAGGTCAGCCTCTAGCTTCCTTTGTTTTTGGGTTTATGTAATGTATTTTCATTAGGTCAGCTAGGCAAACGCCTCCGAATACACCACCCTACATCAACCAAACAAAATCAACTCTATACAGAAGAAAGAAGGAAACTTGATCTAAGTTAAAAAATCTTTGCTGAAAACCTAGCAGATGTTTCATGCTGCAGAAGCGTTACTAAAATAGGCAGCAGTACCTGGTGGTCCATAAAGATTCTAGGAGGAGTACACCAAGCACCTTTATATTGCAAGCTCATTCCAAGAGAGCTTCTTCCGCTCATGGCAGAACTTGTTGGTGAGGATGGCAAACTCTGCAGATCTCCTCCGTCCACAGAGGGCCCAGGAGCTTCACTTTGGGTCCTCATTGCGACAACGTACTCATAGGTTGTGATACCCTGCAACAAAAGAATATGATGGTGTTAGCAGCCTCCTTTTGCCTTTCTATGTTTCCTATTCTCTTTTACCTGGCGAATGAAATTCCAGATGGAAAATATATATCGCATTTGCGAATGCAACATCCAACTACAAAGTTAAGGTTTGTTAAAGAAGGAACAAACCTTTCGAATTAGAATTACGTGGAAAAAGAACAGTTCTCCCAAAGGCACAGTGGCCAGAAAAGAAACAGCTGTACATAGGGCCTGTAATAAGCACATACCAAAGTTGATTTTCTAGGGGAAAAACACAGTAGTACCAAATGCAACCAAAATAAATTCGATCATTCTATGGAATAGAGTCATTAAAAGACCAAAAAAATGGAATTGCAAGACTTTTACCAAGCCTTTTCAAGCAAGCAAAGTAAAAGAAATAGCAAAAGAAGTTGTTTTATTGATGCCTAAAGTGCGACGGTACATTACATTCTCAGTTTTATGAGTACAAAATGAAGATGTGAAACCATGATAAATTATATTGTCAGGCCAATGCAGCAGATGCACTGCTATAACACTGAAAGGTCAGATATCCAGTCTCTAATAAAAGAACATGCAACATTTTCTTAAATATATAAGATACACAATAAGCAGAGAAGGATATATACCACTACAGTAGCAAATGGGGGTCGTGAGAATCCTTCTCCAAGCCTGTCAGTTATCTGATTTTCTGTTGCCTTCCTATCAGTGAAGCAACGAACAAGAACAGCAATGCCCACTCCAAATTCAAAAACAAGCTGGCACACAAATGCACATGCAAATAGAGATCCACAAAACTTATTTAGTTGGGTTTAAGGGAAGGAAAATGAAAGGTAATAGAAATGTTAAAACAAATTCCAAACAAACATCTGCTTTAGAGCTTACCCAGCCAAGGCTTACAGCCATAAGGCACACAAATGTGATGTAATTTTTCCTCCCAACACAATTATTCAACCACTGCACAACAGTTTATCATGCCATATTAGACATAAAGAAAAGCAATCCTCTTAAGATTACAAAGAATGATGGCAAACAACAAAAAAGGATAGCAGGACATGATGAATATGACAGCAACAAAACTACTCACATCGGGAAGATCTCTCAGTTAAGTGCAAAAAACAATCCAAGATAGTAATCATCTAAGTTACCCATTTCTTCAAAAAAATCCCCAGATCTTTTTGAACATGATAATGGTTTGTTCATCTAATCACATTCTGATGCAGGACTAAACATATTAAGTATAAGAAATCAACCATGAATGATAGGTTTCCGTTAATATAGGTCTGGTGTTACGAAAAAGAATGTTGGTGGCAAAATTGAGACTGTTTAGTTATGAGTGACCAGGAAGACCTAGATTTTAGGGTTTAGAAGGGATGAACTTATAGAAATGTTGATAAAGAGATTTGGATTTCTTAATTAGAGTTTCTTAGCTCGAAATAGAGCCTAGATGTCTGGTTGGAGGGGTTTATATGCGGAATATTGGGAAGAAAAGAAGAAGACAAAGAAAACCAGGAAACACTCCAAGAATGCCTTAGGCATCACACATGGGGTAAGGGTTTGCATCGGACAAACACGATGAGGCTTCAAAAGTTCCAAAGGCGCTCTAAAACAAATCTCTATTATGAATGAGTAAACTCAAAAATCTGACTACTCTAATGTGAAATTCAGAAATGCTCTTGACCCCTAAAAAATCTCAAACCTTTATAAAACTCAGCTACCAGAATAAAACACAAATAAACCATAAAATATGACTCTGGGAAAAAAATTAACAGCAAATTATGCAAGGCCACAAGTGAGTCACAATCTTGATACCACCAATTTTATAAAATTTGTTGTATCTTTTAATTTTCATTTCCTTGAGCATCTTATGGACTGCATCACATTCACTACACATAAACCAACAACTTGAGCATCTTAACATCATAAGCAGGAGAGTTGACCAGAAATTGAGCATTAAACTCACCCTACAGTGATGATCAAACCCATCAACACATTTGTCACAGCTTTTGCAATGTTTGCCGAACTTGCGCACCTACGAAACCACAAAAAATATTTACGGAATTATTCTCCTCAAATTCTTGGTTTGTTATGCATTGAGATCATACTCATTAATTCGAGGTTTTGACCAAGAGCATATACTCACTGGGAGAACAGGCAAAAAAAAAATGGGGAGGCAAAGACGAAGAAAGACAGCAAGGGCATACAAAACATGATGCAACAGAATATATAATAAGAAATTCTTCATTTTCTTTTGTTTGGTTCTTTCCCAAACAATAGGAACTGAACTTAACTAAAAATCAGAAATTTAAAGAAAAAAAACCAAGGGTTAACTCTGGTTCAAGAAGAGGAAGAGTTCCATACTCAAAAAAAAGGAAGGAAATCAAAGCAAAAATAGTCATGAGCTGTATACAACACCAAATCGGTCCTTGTTAAGGTGGGTTCCCACCTTCCTAAAGTGGGAAGCACAACATCCAAAGCTTCAGCATATATCTTAACAAGTTAAAGGTTCAAGTGACGCTTTTCCAAGTGTGATAAAATTATATTGGATAGCAATTATTTCTTGGGAGTTAAGGTAAAGTTTAAATGGAGCTTGAGATCCAGTCCACATGCAGTTCCCACTACCTCTAACTCTCTTCCCTTTCCCTCATGCATCATATATCATGAGCAACAAGCTCATGTCCCAGGTAAAAGCATGTAAACATCGAGATAATCAAGAGTAATTCAAAGCAGGTGTTTAATATATTCTTGATCTTTTATACATTTATTCTTCTGGCGGCCCGTGGGTCTGGGCTGGAGAGGATAGGTCAGGGGTTGTGTTAGCGGCATTTGATGGTGTCCTCCCAATTGAGTTTTGCAGCAGACAATCACTTGATTTTTGAATCTTGAAAATAAAACCATTACAATAAGATTTAAAATCTCTTAACTACCTTTAACCAATAACATATACGACATAAGATTCAAAACCTTTTTCAGTAAATTTTACCTCAGCATTGCACAATGTGCAGAACAAAGCATCTTCTTCTCCAGTTTGTTGAGCAAAAAGATCTTCATCTTTCCGACAATATTCCCACGCAGAAAAACCACAAACGAGTCCCACAATTTTTGAACAACCACTTGAACCACACCTATCAGATTTTCCTCCATTCTCCAATCTAGCTTTGCTAGGTTCTTCAGGAGAAGATGCAATTCCTAAGCACACACCAGAAAGCTCTTCAATGACAATCATAAGAACAAAGTCCTGATGCATCAAAACGTCATCTTACACTGCCCTTTTCCCCAACAAAGGGAAAATTGCTGATTGGTGGATTTATCAATAGGAACTTGCAGAGAGGAAAAAAATCCATTGTAATCATAACTACCCATTTATAATCAAATTTTCAGGACAATCAGCTCAAGATTTGTGGTAAAAAATCTATATGGAACATTCATTGGTGTTACCAATCAAATCACATTGATAACTGGTTGAATCTCCACTGAACTTATTCAGTTGGTGGATTTAATCAGTAGGATTATATTTTCTCTAACTAAACCATGACAATGCTGCTAACTTACTAACCACGCAAATCTGTGTCATTTTGCAATCCATAAGCTGGTGTTTCGGCAGCTTCAATCAAAATTTCAGGATCAGCGGGATCAATAGCTCTGCATCTAACATAAAGCACAAATACACAGAGTGCCTGAAGTAAACACAGAAAATAAAAAATAAATAAGGTGAGCAAAAGATGGTGGTGCGATCTCCATACAGGGATTACTATAAAAGACTTCTATTATGCTTACCAAGAAGGAATAAACACCAACGGCCACGTATTCATACACGTTCTTCCCAAGAAACGGAGCAAAAAATGCATAAAAGGCAACAGAGAGCTAGAAAAATAATTGTTATTGCGACAACCTGTGCATCATCACAAACATCAAGACGATTGTACTACAAGTTAAAGCAAAATGTATGGATGATGATGCAACAACATCTAAAAGATTGTAGGCAGGAATGTACCATTAAAGATTTTCTTTCCACGTATATCTCATCTCCCGCACATTACCAGAAAATCAATATTAATTGCTATATTGATGTGCACATAACACTCGTGATAAATAACTATCATAACTGACAGACAGGGAAAATCAATTAAACAACTACAACAAACATTGTGTGCCAATCACCTAGACTTTAAAAAAAATGTGAGAAACACAAGTAAGATGCTGAGTACTTTGAGGACGTCAGATTAAGATATCAACCAACAGCCATTGCTAAACCCTCCCAAAGATACAGAGTTTCCAACCAGATTGTAAAACGAGAAAGCAGAGTAGCAATTATTGTAATGAAAAAAACAGATCCTTGGCCATAAAGTTCCAAAGGGTAACTGATCATAAAAGAGGTCCATGATCACACCTTACTTATACTTCACAACTTCCAAACTAGGACAGGGTTTGATATGAGCCCCTAAATTAAACTTCTACTAAAAATCTCAACAATGGAGGGTCGATCATTCAGATCAAGTGACTTGGATTGATCTTTGAGTAACTTGGAACAGATGAATCTGTCCCGACGACATAGAACAAAATTGGGCAATATACACAAAGTGTTATGTGGAAGAAAAGTCAAATATGACGAAAGATTCAGGACATATCACAATGGAACAATACCAAGTGCTATGCAGCAATTCTTCATCCAAGACTTCTTAGAGCCATTCACATGCAGAGTGAGACTCATGATTTATATATTTATTGGAATGGAAAGAGCCAGTCAGACACAACTCAGCTGAGCCGTTGAACCATGCCACCAATTAAACATTTTTTAAGAAAATAGTAGGCAATGCATTGATGGTGAAACAAAGTCCACAAGGAATTTTTCACAAAAAAAAAATAAAATATATATATACAACTGCGCACCATAGGAAAATCAAATTATATCAAAAGCATGTGCTTTCTGTAATAATATGATCTCTTTGGGATGGGTTTTGATATTCTTATAATTCCATTGGAAATTAAATTAAAAAAATAACATAATGAGGTTAAAGAAAGATATGCATTCCTCTAAAACCCAGGTAACCCAATGAATAGGATGCAGTCAAAAGATCAAACTACAAATAGATACATATTTTTTGACAGAAAAGTAAAATAAAGTAACACTAGTTTACAATATCACATGGATAATCTTCAAAAAAAAAAAAACTACCTTTAAAAGTCAAAAGGCCTCAAATATAACCCACATTTCGAATTTCAAGTGATTACAAGGAAAAGGAGACCTAAAAGAATTTACCTGAAACGTGTGAGCTGGGAGTTCCCAACCATGACGCCTAGCCATGATCAAGCACCAAGTCAAATTGTGCCAATAAACCACAATTCCACTCAAATGACCATACTAAAACCCAATCCAATTTAAACGTAGAATGAGATTCTAAATTAGAGACTCAAAACTTCTGGTTCAGAGCTGGTCGAGTTCTTGCTCTCTCTTTCCGCCGACAACTGGTACCCAAAGTCTAAAGTGGGTTTGGTGAGCATTTAATCTCAACAAATAAGTTTAAACACGAGCTCCATATGACCCATCAACCAGATTGTCAATTATAGGCTCTGGAATTCGATTTATCGATCAATGAGCCAAGAAGAAGAAGAAGAAGAAGAAGGAGAAGAAGAAAAGGGTTTGATTTGGCAGTATTTTATATAGAACCGAAGTGGATTATGAGTGTCGGCTGTCCTGTCGTAGCATAATATATTTTGGTCCTCTAAAGTTTAATCCCTAGGTGACCATTTTCTTTCTTTTCAGTTTTTGTCTTCGTCTTATGAAAGTAAAATGTGTAAAGTTAGGAATTTTGACTACAAATTTTAAATTTTTTTTGAAGTTTTGTCAAGAAAGTTTTATGAATATTTTAATTCTGATATAAATGATTTATCTTTAACTGAAGCAGAAAAAAAATTAATTGAGGTGTGCGTATAGTAGCATAGACACCTTTAACTATAGAACCAACAACAAATTTAATTTCTTAGTCTATGTCCAATCTTAAATCAAATTTTTACTTAAATTTAAGTTATTATTTGAGTAAAAAAACTTTATTTGATATAAAACACACTAATGAATAAACTCAAATTTAAAAAAAAATTAAATATGATCATTAGATCTTTTAAAAAGTAACATACCATTAAAAACAAACATAAAAGTAAACATGGTGGCCATGCCATGTGGAAGGTTTGGCAATCATAACAAGTTAAATAATTAATAAGCACCGTTGACTTGTATGGATGTCCTAAATATTGAGGTTAACCGATAAGGATCAAGGAGAGAGAGAGAGAGAGAGAGATTTGTCAGATGCATTCAAGAAAATTCACTTTTACGTTAAATTCAGTACCTCACTAATGCTAATCAACACTTCCAAAAAAGTATATCAGATGATCTGGAAAACAATTGCAACTATTTACAAAGCATACCTGCATGAAATATGGCACAACTAAGCCTAGAAACACTATGTTCCAGTCTGCTTTGGCGCGATCTCTTCAAATCCACATACATTGATGATTTCGACAAATGTTCCAGTGTCAGAAAACCAGTTAGGGGCAATCCACCCAAAGCGACCAGATTTGAGTTTGACTTAGAATGGTACTGTTTTTAAAAGGCTGTCGTAATTTGCCACAATATACTATGTAAAAGATAAAGAAACAAGGAAAAGACAAAACAAAACAAGCTCAAAATTTGAGGACAACTGATGGCAGACGGATAGACAAACCTATTAATGCACACCATTTCCAGCAACACTACCCTTAATTTATGTTGCGATTAAGCAATCCCTTGAATGATGAGTACAGTTTTTTGTTATCCATCCCAAAAATATCTTCTGCTTTATGCAAAGTTTCCTTAAAGCAAAAATTGTGAATTATGTTCAATTTAGTCAACAAGCAGATCACAACAGATTCGACTGCATCAAAAGAAAATGTAACATAGATTTTGATTTGTTAAAATCAATTTTTATGTTGATCACCTCACGAGATTGTTTTTGAGCATTTAACTCATTTATGTTAGCTAGAAATGCACTGAACTGCTCATACGATAGACGACTCCTGGATTAAATAATCATACCGAAACTGTCAAGTAAAAGGTACCTCTAGAAAAGGTGGTCACAGTCTAATAGTTGGAAATATAGAGCCCACCTGGCTTGGCGGAAGAACTCCTTTCCATCAATTCTAGGAGTACAAGCTTACAATTTTGAAGAATGAAGAAAACAAATTAATCAAGCCATAATCTATATAAGAAATTTAATTCAAGCACTAGTATTCAATATAGTGCATCAATCATAAGGAGTTGCACTAGTAGGAAAAAAATTGCTTTTTTGCAACAGGAAGGAACATGGACAAGTATTATTAGAAGATTGCAAAAGAAACAACACTTATGTTTATCATCTAACAGCCAGAAGTCGAATTGGAAATTGCAATAGGCTTTCCAAACCTGGCATTGGGCGTCCAATTGGAGGAGAGTTTGCGGCTGATGACTACTGAACTTGACGGGTACCATGAAGACAGTGTACCCCGTCCTTCATATTGATTTTTTCTTGGAGAAGTGGTAGCAGAACTTTTCTGAGGAGATCCAGCAGCCGAATACCTTCTGGGGGACACGCTCGTGGAAATTATTTTTGGAGTTCCCGTAGGAGTGACACTAGGTGTTATGTAAGGGGTCATAGAAAATCGTTGATCAGCTTGCTTTTGACGCTGATGTCCAAAACTTGGATTAAATCACATCATGAAAAAAATGATATGCGTATGCAAGACTGAACAAACCAAGAGTTACTGACGGAGAACAGCTGAAAAACCAGGTAAAAGGCCATCAAAACCCAGCTGAAGATAGAAGATAACCGAAGAGTGAGGGCCAGCAGCTGCATTAAACAAGCTGTGCACATGAACAGTGCACGTGAACAGCCCAAAACCAGCAGGGCGCAGGAGACCCCCAGCAACATGAACCAGCCCAAAGCAAAAGGACCCCAGAACCAGCCCAACCAACAGCTATTAACCATGATCATCATTTATCAGAGCACACCCAGTGTGCAGAACAGGCAACTGCTCCTGTCTCCCATTCAAGCGCACGTCAACAGTATCAAGCTGCCTGCAAGTGCTATCAACCAAGATCATTTTTCGTCTCAATGTAGACAAAGAAAGTTGATCGTGATGCAACCTCATCTTCCCAGCTATAGGCAGCGAATCAGTACCCAAAAATTCAAAACAGCAGGCTTCGTTGACAGCATAAGAAGCCAGAAAATCTGCAAGACCGTTAGCTTCCCTGAAAATGTGACTAACCTTGATATTAAATCTATGCAAAATTCCACAAATATCATCAATAAACTGTTTATATTTCCAAGGAACCTTGACCTTCCCCAATACCATTCCAACAAGCACCTGTGAATCCGATTCAATAAGAAGTTGATAATTCATTAAATCATGACGCAAAAACAACTTAATACCCTCCAAAAGTGCCTTACACTCGGCCAGCATATTCGAACCCCTGTCATAAAAGGAGGCAGCAGCGACAACAATCAGACCATTCGAATTCCTGACCACCATGCCTCCACCTGACAAACCAGTTGGCCCCTTTGCTGCAAGCTTCAAGGTCCCATCTGGAGGGGGTTCCCACTTAATCCATAAAGCCTTTGTGATAACAACATGGGCAGCATTAATCTTCAAATCAGCAAGTAACACTTTACCATTACTATCATCACCCTTCTTAGGCTTAATAATAAAAGCCTGAAAACCCAAAGCACTCATAATTTGTAAAAACACAGCATAGGAATTTAATTCTCTTCCTCAAACAGTCTCCTGCGCCTTTCTTTCCAAAGAGCCCAGTATAAAAGAAGTGGAACTCCTCTAACTAGAGCGTGACTCAGCGAACAACATTTAAAAATTCTGCTAAGCCTCAAGAACCTAGTAATAGAAGACTCCCCCTCAATCAAACCAAAACCCATCATACTTGCAAACCTTCTCCATATTGATTTTGCAAAACTACACTCAATAAACAAATGAGAAACAGTTTCCTCTTCTTCGCCACAGAGACTGCACCTGCTTACCAAATCAATACCCAAGTCACGGATTCTTGAAGCAATGGATAAAGCACCCCTAAGGATTTTCCAAGAACATAGCTGTGCACTTGGAAAAATTCTTTGACTCCAGATACATTTAGCTGCCACATTCTGCTCACCCTGCTGCCTGACCTGCCACCATGCATCTTTAACAGAGAAAAGACCAGTACTGCTACTCCTCCAAACCCTTCTATCCCCTTGCTCACAGATCACCACTCCAGCTGATATAATCTCAGACTTCAATTGCTCCCCAAGGATAGAAATAACATCATCCAGCTGCCATTGGTTATTCCCCCACATATCAGCTACAGAAGGAAAATCAGTGGGAATCCCCACAGCACTTTGCAATAAGGGCCCAGACTCAAGCCATGCATCACACCAAAAATCAGTGTTTCTACCATTCCCTATACTGACCCAGGAATTTTCAACCACAAAATTAAACCAAGGCTTCAAACTTTTAAAAGATTTTGCACCCCTCGATTCCCCACATCTTAACAAGTGCCTCCCCTTAAGAATGTAGATCTGAACATCTTCGCCCAAAGTGAATTACCATTTAGGATATTCCAGACCTGTTTAACTCTGAAAGCTGCTTGAATCTCCTCAAAGCTTCGAATTCTCAACCCACCCTCCTCCTTTGGTTTGGACATCTTATCCAAAGAGACCCAATGTCTCCTTTTAGAGTCCAATTTACAGCACCATATGAACCCAGCAATTAATGAATTCAACTTCCTCATCACGCCTTTGGGTATATTCATACAAGTCAAAATGTGAATGGGAATAGCATTCAACACAGACTGCACCATCACAAGTCTACCCATCCCAGATAGAAGTTTGGCATACCATCCTTCAATTATCCTTCTAAAACTGTTGATCACCTCCGCAAAGAAACAATTCCTAGATCTTCCCCTAATAATGGGGAAGCCAAGATAAGAAAAGGGGCAGGTCTTCAAAGGAATTCCCACCAAATTGGACAGCACATTCCGTCTAACAATGGGGATTTTTGCTGAACAATACAAAGCACTTTTTGATTTATTTACTTTCTGTCCAGAACAAGATTCATACAAACTTATAAACTTCATCAAGTTCATCATAGATTTCTTCTTACCTCTCAAGAATATTAAGGTATCATCAGCAAAAAGGTGACTCACCAAAAGAGAACCTCTGCCTGTGTGAAAATGGGTGACCAAATTCATCTGATAAAGTCTTCTCAACCCTCTACTCAAAGCCTCTTCAGCAAGAATAAATAAGGAAGTGAATAAAGGATCTCCTTGTCTAAGCCCCCTTGAATTAGCAAAATAACCATGCCTTTTTCCATTTAAACACAATGTAAAAAATTGGGTTTTCAGACAGTTAGAGAAAATTCTAACAAACATTCCTGAAAAACCAAACTTTTCCAACACCCTCAACAAAAAGTCTCATTCGATCCGGTCATACGCCTTCATCATATCTAATTTAACTACCATATTGCCTCCCACCACCTTTCTATCCAACTCCTCCGCCATTAGCTACCCCAATGACACACAATTCCCAATGCACCTTCCTTTTACAAAACCATGTTGCTCTTCAGACACCAACACAGGAAGTAAAGAAGAAAGTCTTGTAGTGAGGAGCTTTGTAAAAATTTTATAAACAAAATTGCAGAGGCTAATGGGCCGAAAATCCCCAAAGTTAACAGGGTTGTCCTTCTTTAGAATTAGAACAAGAAAAGTAGAGTTAACAGATTTTGGAATTACACCACCTCCCAAAACAAAATTCACAGCAAGCAATACATCATCTTTGATAATCTCTCAGGATGATTGAAAAAACTTACCCGAAAGCCCATCAGGTCCTGGAGCACCTTCCACAGCCATAGAGAAAACAGCCTCTCTGACTCCCTCCATAGAAGCAGCTTCCACCAACCTCTCATTCTCTTGATCACCAACCAGTGAAGGGATTTCAGAAAATATCTCTTCCTGAATAGAATGATTCTCTGACATATACAACTTAGAATAGAATTTTATAGCAACGTCAGCAATCTCATCTTCCCCATGAACCCAAACACTTTCATCATTTTGAATTCTTTTAACTTTATTTCTTACAACTTTACTCTTTGCCATAGCATGATAAAAAGCTGTATTTCTTTCTCCTTCAACGGCCCATCTAATATTCGCTTTTTGCTTCCAGAAAATCTCCTCCATTCTAAGCAAATTATCCAATCCTTCCTTCCACCTCTCTAATACTAATGCACCCTCCGAACAATAATTCTGATCCAATTTAGACTCCTCCTCCTGAATCCTTCTTTCATGAACTTTTATATTATTAAATACATTCCCAAAGGCTTCTTTGTTCCACAATTTGAGATGGGCTTTTACGTACTTGAGCTTAATGAACAAGTTAGCGACAGGATTCTCAAAAAAATGCCCCCTCCAATTTGTAGCAACCAAATTTAGGTATCCTGAAAACGAAAATAAGATATACTTCTCTGAATAGGTTCATCCAAAATCTTAACAAGCAAGGGGCAATGATCTGAATTACCCCTAGCAAGATGGACAACCTCAGTATTCTCAAATCTCAGAGGCCAAGCAACATTCACCAAAACCCTATCCAACCTCTTTAGCATCCTGACGTGCCCCTGGCGATTATCACACCATGTGAACCTACTACCAGAAAAACCAGAATCCAACTACCCTCCTTGATCAAGAAATTGGTCAAACTCCTCCACAGCTGTAATAGAAGGAAAGGCCCCTCCTCTTCTTTCTTCCGAAGTCAAAATGGAATTGAAATCACCTGCAATGATCCAAGGATCACTTGCAGGTATCTCAATACCCAACAAATGTTGCCATAATAACCTTCTCCTAACACGGTCACAACTTGCATATACTACAGACATCCAAAATTTTTCAGTCCAAAAACATAAATTCCATAGTCAGCACCACAGCTGATGAGAGTACAACTCCTTGATTTAACTCTATCATCCCAGAGCAACCAAATATTCCTTTCTGCACATTTGTTAAACCAGAAATGATTCAACCCTATTTTACCAGCAAAATTTTGCAGCTTTGACACTGATATTTTTGGTTCCTGAACTGCCACACAACATACATTATTCATCTTGATAATTTTCTTTAATCTCCTACTTTTGCATCCTTTCCCTGCTCCCCTCATGTTCCATGAAATCAGATTAATCATAAATGAACAGAAGCAAAATTCCCACTAGAATTACATCTAGAACCTTCATTTGACACTCTGAATGAGCTATCTGTGTCCACCGCATCACCTACTGGGCTCTGAGAGCTATCTTGATCAGATGCATACCCCTTATCTGGGGGTATCTTCTTGCTTATAAGACCATATTGATCATCAACCGATCCAACATACCCCTCCCTATTCATAAAGTCACGGTCAACCAAAAAGGATGATCCCATTGAAGGAGCACAATGAACCACACATTCTGGCAAATGGTCTTTAAAAACACCCTCATTTCCAGAACCAACGCTATTCTCGGCCTCCACATCAACAGAATTTTCATTCTCCTTTTCTCTATCAACTTCTAACTCATTCAGCAACATGTCCCCGCCAGAGGCATCCAGAACAGGAATAGAAGTAGAAGACAAAGCATCTTCCCTCTGCACCTCATGATTCTGATTCCCATTCTCCATATCCTCAACATCCTTCTCTACACTGGCAGCACCCCTCTCCACACAGTTCCCGCCCGAAGAGGAGAGTACCTCTGAACAGTTTCCAACATCATTTAGGGGAACTCAATTGGATCTGAGCCATTGAGCAGGTCTCCATATTATCTTTTTCTCTATTATTTTCGGCAATAACTGATTCAGCCAGAGTCCCCTGAACCTTTTTACAAACCCCCATGCCATCATTCTGCAGTCCCAAAATTTGCTGCTCATCATTTTCTAGATTCATTGGAGAACATTCCCCCTGCTAATTTTTTCTCATAACATCCTCCATCTGCTGCCCATTTAAGGCATTAAAGCTGTTTCCCACCTCTGGATCCTGCTGAGCCTGTTGTTCCTTCTCCGTACCAATATTCACCTCAACAGCATTATTTATTTCATTCAAGATTTCAAAGCTATTCCCCACAAACATGGCAATATTTAAATTCCTTTTCATACATTATCCTCTGCCACCTAGCACTCACACCCCCCATATCCAGCCAGAATCTCTTTGGGTTACTGGCCAGTAGATTCATCTCTACACAGGCCCTAGCAACCCCAGGTCTAGGGAGATTTAAAATGGCATTATCAATCACCAATATCCTACCAATGGGGCTTAATATATCTCTTAAGCTTTCTCGGTTACAGAGACACCCAAACAGGAATAAATGGAGGTTCAATTCCAGGTTAAAATTCTGGAAACCACTTGAAGAAGCGAAATAAGAAACCTTCAATGTATGTAGTATACTTGAGCCAAACTTTGACATAATCATCGTAACAAGAAAATCTGATTCGTCTATGCCATGGGTCCAGTATTCCAACAGCGAAATTCCCCTTCAGTAGCCACCTTGAATTGATAAACTCCTTCACAACTCCTAGTGATGGTTTACCATAGGCACATTTGCGTATTAGAGTAAGGTTAAAGCCCCTCAAAAGTTCCTGGGTTTCGTCCGGGGACCAGTACATACCTGGTTCCCCGTTATTGAAGACCACCCTTTTAGGAGGCTTAGAGGAACACGCAGAAATAAGGAAACCAAATGAGATGTTAGCAGGAGGATTCTGAACACCGTGGTCATTCTGGGCTGTCAGAACATTTACAAGAAGTTGATTCCCTTGTCCTGCCAAACGGATTTGAGAAGATGGCATGTTTTGATCTGCCGAAGGAGCTTGAGAAGTCGACTGGAGATGGAGGTTCAAAGAAGATTGAGGTTTTAAATTTGCTCCATGAGTGATATGAATATTTGAGGGGGCATTAGGAATTTGAAAACCTAACTCAGGCGCAGGGATTTGAATGTTCGCAGAAGAGCCCACGGTCAAGGGAAGAGTTGATGGTGACGGGAGTTGAACAGTTGACTGGTTATGATGAAGATGAGGGTTAGGAAGCATAGGAATGATGGTATTACCACCTAAAGGATCCACAAAAGAAAGCGAATTTGACGCTGATGCAGACGGAAAATGTAGAGAAGTTTCCATGTTCGACGGTTTTTTCAATAAAGACGCGAAATTTCGGGTTATGTCTGGTGGTTTGGGTGAGAAATTAAGCAAATTCTTTGGGGCTATGGTGGGAATCCGAGAAACATCAGGAGGCTTTGGTGGAATTTTGTTCAAACCCTGGGCCGAATCCATAATAAATGAACAGATCTACCCGAAGTTAAAGCAAGAACTCAACAGGCAAAGAGTAAAGGGAGAGTGAAGTGAGAGTTTCTCTCATTAGAAACATTTCCTGCCCCCCTAAACCCTCCAAATCCCTAACCCCTAACCCCTAACCCCTAACCCCTAATCTGTTATCCGTAATCCCTAATCCCAAATCTCTACTCTCTAAGCCAAATCCCCAACCCCTACCTATAAACGGACAACCCAAAAAAAGAAAATAAAACATAATTACTCTAATAAAAAAACAAACAAAACACATATAATATAAGAAATGCTATGCAATTATAGGTTGTGTAAAACACGAAAATAACAACGAAAAATAAAAAGGAAACAGTGGGATAATGAAAATGGTTGAGATTGAAAATAATAGAAACAATGATCATAACAAGTTAGAAACACAATAAGAAGTAGAAATAGTCATGTGTAAAACACATTTTACATGTAAAAAAAAATCAATCAAATTTGGATAAATAGATATACTTATCTTCTCACAACTAAACTCCGTTTTGCAAGCTTATCTCGTCCATTCTACTAACAACTGAAATCAAAATACACATTACATTAGTTATGCACATAAAAAATGAAAATCCAAAAGATAACAAACAACAAAAAAGGAAAAAAATTGGACAAGAATGATGAGAAGGTGGAGCAAAAGAACAATAAACTCAAATTCCTAACCCCTAATCCCAAATCCTTAATTCCTAATCCCTACTCCCTATTCCCAAATCCCTAATTCCTAATTCCTACTCCATAAGCCCTAATCCCCAATCCCTAATACCAACTCTGTATGCCCTAATCCCAAACCCCCAACTATTAACCCAAAACCCCCAAAGCCCACAAGTCCGATAGCCCGTAAGCCCCAAGCGTCCAAAGCCAAAAGCCCTAAACCCTATTTGAATTCTATATTTTATTAATATCTCTAACATGCTACAAACTCCTAATTTTTCACCATTGTTTAACGATTTGTTCCCTCTCCAAGTAATTAATTTTTTTTTTTTGACATTTAATAATTTCAATAGAAAAATAATAGTAAAAGACATAAAATATAATTAATCTAATAGAAAAGCAAACAAAGCACATATAATCAAAAAAAATGCTATAAAATTATAGGTTGTGTAAAACACGAAAACAATAACGAAAAATACAAAGCAAACAGTGGGATAATGAGAGTGTTGGAGATTAAAAATACTAAAAACAATAATCATAACAAGTAAGAAATACAAAAAAAAGTAGAAATAATCATGCGTAAAACACATTTCACATGTAAAAGAAAGTCAATCGAATTTCGACAAATAGATATACTTATCTTTTCACTCCTAAACTCTGCTTTCAAACTTATCTCGTCCATTCCACTAACAACTGAAATCAAAGCACACATTAGATTAGTTACGCACATAAAAATAAAAATTCAAAACATAACAAACAACAATAAAAGAAGAAAATAGGATAAGAATGATGACGAGGTGGAGCAAAAGAAACAAAAGAACAACAAATCCAAATCCCTAACCCCTAACCCCTAATTCCTACTCCCAAAGTCCTAATCCCTAATCCCTAATCCCTCCTACCTAAACCCTAATCCCTAACTATAAACTGAAAACCCAAAAAAAGAAAACAAAACATAATTAAACTAACAGAAAAACAAAAAAACACATATAATTAAAGAAATGCTATGCAACTATAGTTTGTGTACAACACGAAAACATCGAAAAATGAAAAAGAAACAGTGAGATAAGGAGAGTGTTTGGGATTGAAAATAATAAAAAAATGATCATAACAAGTAAGAAATACAAAAATAAGTAGAAATAGTCATGTGTAAAACACATTTCACATGTAAAAGATACTCAATCGAATTTGGACAAATAGATATGCTTATCCTTTCACTCCTAAACTCCCCGTTGCAAGCTTATCTCGTCCATTCAACTAACAACTGAAATCAAAACACAAATTAGATTAGTTGCGCACATAAAAATGACAATCTAAAAGATAAAAAACAACAATGAAGGAAAAAAATAGGACAAGAATGACGAGGAGGTGGAGCAAAAGAACAATAAACCCAAATCCCTAACCCCTAATCCGTTATCCCTAATCCCTACTCTCTACTCCCTAATTTCTAATTCCTACTCCCTACTCCATAGGCCCTAATCCCCAATCCCTAATCCCTAATACCTACTCCCTATGCCCTAATCCCTAACCCCCAACTATTAACCCAAAACAAAGCACATATAACCAAAAAAATGCTATGCAATTATAGGCTTTGTAAAACATGAAACAATAACGAAAAATGAAAAACAAACAGTGGAATAATGAGAGTGTTGAGAATTGAAAATAATAGAAACAATGATCATAACAAGTAAGAAACACAAAAAGATGTAGAAATAGTAATGTGTATAACACATTTCACATGTAAAAGAAAGTCAATCAGAATTGCACAAATAGATATACTTATCTTTTCGCTCCTAAACTCCGCTTTCAAGTTTATCTCATCCATTCCAATAACAACTGAAATCAAAGTACACATTAGATTAGTTACGCACATAAAAATGAAACTCCAAAACATAACAAAAACAAAAAAAGTAACAAATAGGATAAGAATGATGAGGAGGTGGAGCAAAAGAACAATAAACGCAAATCCCTAACCCCTAATCCGTAATCCGTAATGCCCAATACCTAACCCTAATCTCAAATCCCTACTCCCTAAGCCCTAACTATAAACCAAATACCCAAAAAAAGGAAATTAAATATAATTAATCTAATAGAAAAGCAAACAACGCACACCTAATCAAAGAAATGCTATGCAATTACAGATTGTGTAAAAAATGAAAACAATAACGAAAAATGAAAAACAAACTATGCGACAATGAGTGTTGGAAAATGAAAATAATAGAAACAATGAACATAACAAGTAAGAAACACAAGATGATGTAGAAATAGTCGTGTAAAACACATTTCACATGTAAATGAAAGTCAATCAAATTTGCACAAATATATATACATATCTTTTCGCTTCTAAACTCGGCTTTCAAGCTTATCTGATCCATTCCACTAACAACTGAAATCAAAGTACACATTAGATTAGTTATGCATATAAAAATGAAAATCTAAAGCATAACAAAAACAATAAAAGAAAAAAATAGGATAAAAATGATGAGGAGGTGGAGAATAAGAAACAAAAGAACAATAAACCCAAATCCCTAACCCCTACTCCCTAATCACTAAAGCCCTAATCCCTAATCCCTAATCCCTACGCCCTAAGTCCTAATCCCAAATCCCTACTCCCTAAGTCCTAATCTCCAACCCCTAATTATAAACCGACAACCCAAAAAAAGGAAATAAAACATAATTAACCTAATAGAAAATCAAACAAAACACACATAAACAAAGAAATGCTATGCAATTATAGGTTGTATAAAACATAAAAACAATAACAAAAAATGAAAAGCAACTGGTGGGAAAATGAGAGTGTTGGGAATTGAAAATAATATAAACAATGATCATAACAAGAAACACAAGAAGATATAGAAAAAGTCGTGTGTAAAACGCATTTCACATGCAAAAGAAATCCAATCAAATTTGCACAAATAGATATACTTATCTTTTCGCTCCTAAACTTCGCTTTCAAGTTTATCTCGTCTATTTTATTAACAACTGAAATCAAAGTACACATTACATTAGTTACGCACATAAAAATGAAAATCCAAGACATTAAGAAAACAATAAAAGAAAAAAATAGGATAAAAATGATAAGAAGGTGGAGCAAAAGAAGCAAAAGACCAGTAAACCCAAATCCCTAATCCCTAATCCCAAAACACTAATCTCCCAAACCCAAATCCCTAATCCCTAATCCCTAATCCCTAATTCCTAATCCTAAATTCCAACTCCCTAAGCCCTAATCCCTAATCCCAAATCCCTACCCCCTAAGTCCTAATCCCCAACCCCTAACTGTAAACCGACAACCCAAAAAAAAGAAATAAAACATAATTAATCTAATAGAAAAGCAAACAAAACGCATATAACCAAGATAAGCTATGCAATTGTAGGTTATGTAAAACATGGAAATAATAACAAAAAATGAAAAGTAAACAGTGGGATAATGAGAGTGTTGGGAATAGAAAATAAAAGAACAATAATCAAAACAAGAAAGAAACACAAGAAATTATAGAAATAGTCATGTGTAAAACACATTTCCCAGGTAAAAGAAAGTCATTCAAATTTGCACAAAAAGATATACTTATCTTTTCGCTCCTAAACTCGACTTTCAAGCTTATCTCGTCCATTCCATTAACAACTGAAATCAAAGTACATATTAAATTAGTTACCCACATAAAAACGAAAATCCAAAACTTAAGAAAAACAATAAAAGAAAAAATTTGGAAAAAAAGATGAGGAGGTGGAGCAAAAGAAGCAAAAGAACAATAAACCAAAATCCTTAACCCCTAATCCCAAATCTCTAAAGCCCCCTAATCTCTAATCCCTAATCCCTACTCCCGAAGTCTTAATCCTCAACCCCTAACTACAAACTGACAACCCAAAAAAAGGAAATAAAACATAGTTAATATAATAGAAAAAACAAACAAAACAAAGATAACTAAAGAAATGCTATGCAATTATAGGTTATGTAAAACATGAAAGCAACGAAAAATAAAAAGCAAACAGTGAAAAAATGAGAGTGTTGGGTATTGAAAAAAACACAAGAAGATGTAGAAATAGTCATGTGCAAAACACATTTAACATGTAAAAGAAAGTTAATCAAATTTGCACAAATAGATATACTTATCTTTTCGCTCCTACACTCCGCTTTAAAGCTTATCTCTTCTATTCCACTAACAACTGAAATCAAAGTACACATTAGATTAGTTACGCACATAAAAATGAAAATCCAAAACATAATAAAAATAATAAAAGAAAAAAATAGGATAAGAATGATGAGGAGGTAGAACAAAAGAACAATAAACTCAAATCCCAAACCCCTAATC